TTGCTTAGATAATTACATATTTATGATTCTGCCGAGAATTCTTACTCAAAGCTTATTTCTGAACTGTAAAATGCTCAGAGAATCGGCAGAGAAAGTTCTCTGAGAAATGCTACTTCAAAATAGAGCCACCACTTCTTAAATTTTTTAAGGACGTTCGTTTCCGTTTCAGTGGATTCATTCAGTGGTAAACATTAATGGCAGAAAGAGGAGAAAAGGGGTGTTTTCCCTCTAGCAAGATCCCTTTCTGATTCAGTTAACTTGCTTTCTATAGAAAATTCACAAACCCTTCCAAATATGGTTCAAAATAGAGTAGTACACACAATTGTTAATGCTTATCACAGTATGCACCCTACCACACCACACAACTTCTTTTGTATCAGATTATTAGCACTTCCTCTTCAACACATAAACCACTAGATCAGCTAATTCATACTGATCCAATAAACAGAACTGATGTATGAACACTCTGAAATATAATTGTTCAGCCATAACCAATTATCAGACAAAATATATTGCACTTCACCTTCCTTCACTGATAATAGCATCCACTGACATCAGAAGAACAGTCCAAAATCTCATGTTGTCACTTATTTTGGACTATTGTAGAAACTGATAGAAATATCTATTTATTTTTTTACCTTTTAGAGCTGAATTCTGTAAACAGGACAACCAATATCCTCAGCACTAAATTTCACAGCCACTTTTAGGCACTCCCTTTCAAAGTGCTTTCAAGCTTGGTTAGCTTGATGCATGTGAGTGCTCTTTACCTATATCTCAAAAGAGCTACTCCTACACTTGAAGTTACATGTATGCACACGCATTTGTATTTGAAGAATAAGGGTCTTGGTCTTGCAGAGTTATTTACTCTGAAGCAATTATTTAAGGCTGTTGAGGCCAACATCTTTAGTGCTGCCAAGTTTCATAAACTCTTGAGAGCAGGGGTCCCTGTTCTCAGAATAATGACAACCGACCTTCAGCTCTACCACCTTACAAAGCACAGCCCATCTGCAGATATTCGTTTTTATATAGTTATACTTCAGAGATGCCATTCAGCTCCTATTGAAACAAAGCCAATTTTGTAATTCCAGTGCAAAAACCTTGGAGCTAGTGGCACAGACCTCCAGCTGTCCTTGGCAGGTGCCAGCAGAGGCAAGGCTTCCACACCAACCCCAACTCCTCCAGTTCTGGGTGCAGGCTCTTGCCCTCTCCCTTGCTTTTCTTCCTCTACATGAAACCATTTTAACATATTGGACTGGCAGATAGATCAGCATTTCACTGGGAATAGCTGCTGGGAAACCACAAGCTAGGAGTTATATTCACCTATTCCTTCAGCTGTCTCCTAAGGAGTGGGAAGGTCACAGGACAACACTACAGAAGGCATCACAAAGGGGTTCAAACTAAAAAGTCTTGCTCCTGTCTTGAGGAAGGTTTTGCATACATTTTCCAACCCCTTCAGGGAATGCCTTTTTCTTTGGAGTGACTTACTCATTCTCCCCAGCTCCTCCAAGCACTCCTGCTGTTTCTGGGCTAAATCCAGTGAGTTGATAATTACAATGAAATGTTGCACCTCCAGAATTTCTTGGCCCAGGAGACTTAGTGCCTGCAGAGTTGTTCTCCTGTAACATCTCTTACATGTAAGCATGATGCAACACATAATAGGTGTGTTACACCTTCAAAACACAGTATGATACATTCACCTAAAAGGTAGACAGCCTTGAAAAGAATGGCTTTAAATCACCTACTCTGTATTCCCCTCAAAACTATGAGGACATGCCTTAGCTGTTGATGACACTGCTTTCCTGGAGACTAAGTTACTTTGTACTCACTGCCTATCCACTGCCTGTGACAGCTTGTAATAAACTACTACATCCTCTGTTCTCTTCTGCATGAGACCTTTTTCACTGATCAGGGTGCTGATCTTTGTCAAACTACCCATGTAGTAAAAGATGGAGCTGAGAACCTGGGCATAGGGTTTTTCAGGATGCCTCTTAGAAGACAACCATGCTGCCTTGCTTTTTTGATTCCTTCACAGCCCTTTTTGGATACTGCTGCAAAATTAAACCCATCACAGCAAGCTGTTGTACCAGAGTCTCCAACTGGTACCTCCCACCTTTCTGTAAGTTCCTGGGTTATGCACAGTCCTCTTTATATATTTAGATATACATATATGTGCATATAGATACATGCACGGATAAGGACACTTACATATTGCCACACATTTATGCACACACACACACACACACACAGACCTGCTTCAATGACTTGTAGAAGACAAACTGGTTTGCATCCAAAACTCACAGGAGAAGCCTTGCAAGGCACAACAGAAAAATCTCTCTCAGGTAAGCTACTTGTTCCATCACATAAGAAGAAAACTTATTTGCCAAAGCCTTTGCTGAAATCCTGACATCATCTTTTGCTTAGACCTAGGGTCCAAGCCTTTAAATCTTTATTTCCAACACATTCATTAATCCTTGTGACTGTGGATTGAGTATCCAGTTATCAGCCTCTAAATGAACCTCTGAAATCCTAGAAAAAAATAGCATTATACACTTACTTTCCTGCACTTTACAGGTCTTTATTTTGTTAAGCCTTTGCAGCTTTCCTTTGAGACTGTGAGGACCATTAAAGCTGACTGGAAGAATGGGAAGGAGAATTCACACCCACAGAACACAGCCATACTCTCTTTTAGCAGGCAATATTACAATAGAAATATTTTATTTCTAAAAAAACTGCTAACAACTACAATACATTTTTAAGGAGTATCATTTTATATGATGCAAAAAATAAGCTTCTTTTAATTATCTCTAAAGGAGAAAATCTAAGAAAAAAACCAAAAGATGTGTACATTGTTTAAATGGGGTTTTTTTACTACTGAGAAATGGAACTGACAATCATGATTAAAAACTGATCAAAAATGCTACTATCATTTCTCAAGGGAATCAGAAATTAATTTCTTATTCAAATGTATGTGTTGAACATGGGCAGCCAAGTTAAACCAAGTCCTGTTTGGGAGATGTACACAAACTGCTTTTTTCAGCAACCTCTGGCCCACACTTTGTTTACACACGTCAGAGAGAAAAACATCATAATAAAAACCTATAAAAGTATTTTTTATTATTCAGATTAAGTTATTATTACTTCTGGGGTGATGAAGAATATGCCCAGCCTGTCTCTTAAATCTACATTCAAACTGTTTCAAAGTTAATTAGGGTGAGTAATTGTTTAGAAATCTCTCGAATAATAAAATATAACAACTTATAGCACAAAAACAGTCCTTAAAGAAAAGAGTGGGGAGTACTTCACTTCACTACAAATAACAGTTGAGTATATTTTATGATCACTATAACAACTACCATGCCCTTGAGACTGTGCAATTCTGAATTTCTAATATAATTTGTAGGGGGGAAATTAGGACAAAATGCAGTAACATTTCAAGTACAGTCTCTCGGTATTTTAAAATTTTATGAAGTATAAGGATTAGGTTAATATGAAATGAGTCATGTTTTTAAGAGAAGCAGTACTAGAGATCAGTATCTTAAATCATAACTAAAATAACACTCAACTACTACAAAATAAAGAGAAATCAGAGCAGCTTTCAGCTGGAAAAAGGTCAAAAGCAACAATGAAGATATAGCAACATTAGAAAAGGCTGAGAGCACTGCTCATTTCAGGTTTGAGAAGTTAAAATACCAGGCTAAGTGACCAGGTAAACGTGATGCTTTCTCACTCAATAAATCCATTCCCACCAGCTGAAATTCATCCCAAATCAATATAAACTCTACACATATCAACTCTTAGCCTAAAATTCAGACTACCAAATGACATACACGCTTGGTGCAGATCTTCTGATTTCAGAGATACACATTTGCTTTACTTAGGGTCAAGTACATTACATTTTACCCCATGTTGTCTTTGGGAGTCAACAGAACTACAATGTATCAAAGAAAAGCAGTTACGTCAAAGCAAATACTCTTGGGAGTGTCATTTTCCTCACAGAGCAAAGACACTGGAGTTGCAAAGGTCTAAGAGAGGCTGTAATTTATGTACATATTCTTTAAATCCATGCCCACACACAAACCAAAGGAACCAGCTCAGTGCACTCATCCAGAACTGAGATTTCAAAGCTAATGGGTTAGAAATATTATCCCTTTAACTTCTGTACTGAGCACAATGACCTAGAGATGATTCAAATACAAAACTTAAGCTGGCACTTTATGCATTTATTTCTTATGCTTTCTCATTATGCTAATACTGCAGTTACCATTCTTGTACACCTCAGCTGGGACAACACAAGATATCAGAACTGCTGAAAAAATACTATTTGATCAAAACTGAAGCAGTAAGTACTAGTCCTTCTGTCAGACCACAGCTCTGCTTTCCATCTGCAGAACTATCAGGAACCAGCAGCAAACCACAAGGACTGACTGAAAATATGAACTTCCAATAATCTGTAACACTCAGTAACTTTCCAGAGATGGAGTAAGAAGATTGCATCAACCAAGCCCCCTTCTACAGAAGCTAAGATTTTTAACTTCACTAGTCTTACACTGACAAATGGGCTGAAGCAAAATGCATCTGACACTGCATAGTTGTTGGGTCCTTTTCTAGAAGAAGCCGTTAGTATTGAAACAAACTGCAGAGAGCACTCAAGTGGGGGCAATAGAGCACTCAGCTCAGCTACAGCTCACCCCAAACAGGCCTTAGGTCAAAAGAGGAAGCAACACCAGTTACCAACAGGATGAGCTATGTTATTGTCAAGTCACACTTCTCACTTCAAAATTAACATGCTGCCCTACTTTCCACAGGAGAAAAAACAGGTGCAATTGTAGTATTTTTGTCAAACAGCATAATGGTCTAGGTGTTCTTTAAAAAAATTACAGTATTCCACTTGAGTGCTAAAAACTAGTTATTCTAAAAATACTATTGGCAATACAAGTCTGCTAATGGTATGTGTGCAGGAACAAAGCACACCACCTTTAGTCAGGTAAAAAGGTACTTACCATTGGCAGTGCATTGATATGCAGAAGTTTTCCTTTCGGGTGCCTCTTGCCACAGAAGGATGATGCTAACAAGGAAATAAAGAGACAAAATAGGAAACATTAATATTTATTATTTTGAAACTGGTGGTGTCAACACACAACAAAACATTCTCATGTATGGGCCTTGATGGCTCTTGCAGCCTACTCTGTTCACAGAGCTGAGTGGTTACCACTGAATTTGCACAGAGCCTGGAGCAGTGCTCAGGCACAGCACAGCATGCAGAGCTGGGGTTTTGCATATATCCTGTCGCTCCCCACATCACAGATTGGCTCCTGTGGGGAGCCTGAAACACAGGCCTTTGAACAAACAAGCCTGTTGAATGAATACTTCCACCACCAGACCTCTAGACGGTCTCACCCATTCAGCA